AGGTGAGAGTGGCTACCACTTCTCACAATACAAAAAGTATCCTATACAAAAGGTAAGATATGCTGCAGGTGACGCCATCAGTCAGATGATAATCCAGACTCAGGCTCCGCGTCTCCATCTGAGAACCCCTCATCGCCGAACATCTCATCCTCTGAGGGATCCGCCTCCTCTGTATACTCATCATCGCTCGCAATGATGACATGCTCTGGTACTTCATCATCATAGTCCTCAGACATGTAGTCTATTGGCTCCTCATCGTCTTCATCGTCATCTGTATGATATCCTGATGCTTCGTCCTGCTCCGGCTGGGCTACAACTGCTGCCGCTGCGGCATTGGCCTGGAGTTGTTGCTGGACATGGTGTAGCTCCTCCTCGCCATTTATTATTTCTTCCAGGAACTGCTGGATGTGATAGTATTGTCCAGGGTAAAGAACTAAGTCCCAGACGTCCTGGGGTACCCCCCTCCAGATCAAATCTCTGACCTCTGAAAACAGGATCTGGGTAGGTATGATGGGCAGCATGGAGTCCCGGAAACGCTGGCAGTAATGAGCCATGGACTCTCCCTCATAAGAATCCCAGATGGCTTCTAAAGCCTCATATTGTCTTCTCTGCATATCCTCCCAGATGTGAGGATCTCTCTGCACTCCCGGAGCATGAACTTCAATAGCACCATACAATATCGGCCCATACTCGGCTCTGATTTCCTGCTTAAACTCTCCCCAACTAGGGGGTTAGCTCCCATCCTGAGCCACCAGGCGAGAGCGTGTCCTTCTAACTTTGAGGCGGCCAATCGGACCCTCATCCGCTCAGGAATGTGACAAACGTCATATGCTATCTCTATAACGTTGATCCACTCCATTAATAGGTACGGTTGACGGCGACCGGAGAATGTGTGAACACGCATGTTTACAAACGCGGCCATAGCCCTACGATCCTCCTCGATTTGCCTGGGGTCTATCGGTGCAACCATACTCTATTGTAACGCAATAGTATTAACATTAATATTTACTCATAATATATTATGTACATGAATTTCTACTTACTTGGACTGGGGCGGAGTAGGCACGTGACGGTCTATCGGTGCAGCCAACTGTAGCGCCCTTCCTTTGAGGCCGCCACTGTAACTAACTTTTTAACTTGTACTTACTGAAATTTCTTAAAATTTACGGAA